TTTCTCTCCCTGGATTCTGCAAACTTAGGAAACAACAACAGCCAACCAGCCAACCAACAAACACCCACCGTTTAGCCGGGAGTTCCAGCTGTGCGGAGGAGGTGGGAGGAGAGCTTAAATCATCGGTTTGAAATCTATCTGGACAACGTGGTGAGACCCCACGCGAGAAACTTGATTGTCAACCTAGTTGGGCTGAGAGACACTAGGAAAGGAGAAAGCATTCAGTATGTCTATAATGGCATCCCCAGGGAGGGTTACATAAGCAAGGAAGCCCCACCCTGTAGGGAGACACCATAACCACAACTCCTAAGGGCTGGCTACAGGTGTGCCTGACCACGCCTGTCAAGGCATGGTCAAGGTGAGGTCTGGTGATGAGGGATGGGCTCTTAAATGACCACGAGCACCTGGAACGTTCTCTTTCTTCTTCTGCTGCCCCTTCTCTCTGGCCTGGCTGCCTTGCTGCCCCTGGGCACGCTCTGGCTTGCGTTTGGCTGGTATTTATCTAAATAAAGGTACCTCGAATCTACAAGCTTTCTCCTTCACCACCCTGAATGTAGGCAACACTGTCCAATAAGTTTGGGGCCCAGGGGAGCCAAAGGGGGAAACAGGGAAAGCTGTGGCATCCTCTCCCTCTCTCTGCGTCCTGGTCACTGTAAGGTGAGCAAAGGTTATATACATCCACGTCTTCCACAGCCCGGAAACAACAAAGTCAGCTGGCTATACTCAAACCACAGGCTAAAATAAATTCTTTTCACCTTTAGGTTGACTGTCTGAGGTATTCTGTAACAGTGACAGATACAACCATCTCAAAGTGAACAAGCGAACAAGCGAATACATAAACATGGTGTTTATGCCTGTTCTGCTTGCATGACGTCAGCAGAAGCATATTAACAGGCATCCGATCTGGTACCAGAAGTGGGATTGTAAGTGAACAGTCTCTCTCTGAAGGAGAGTGGACTGCCTGAGACAGTCTGAGAGCGGGAAAGTTGGTAATGAGGATTTCCCAACCCACACTGAGAAACCCCTCCACTGGCTTTACATAGTAGAGAGACAGACAGTAATGCTTGTTGGCTCTTGGCTCTAAGAGTAGGAGCCAACAGAAAGTGAGGCTGTAGGAAGCCCCCACAATCCGATGACTCAGATTTTCATTAGAGATGTGTTGCCAGAAAAAAAAGAAATCTGACCAAGAGGACCTCGTGATTTTGTGTCCCTCGGGATACAGCTCCCTCTAGGGACCCTCCCCAGTGCTCCTTTGCAGGGTGATCCCACGGGATTCTGGGTAGAGCTTGCTCCCAAGCCCAGCAGGAAACCCCATGGTCAATAGTTCAACAGAAAAGAGCCATGGAAGGCAAAAGCCAATTTGTTCTCTTATTACTTCATTCTCTATGGGCAGGAGGACGTCATGTCACCAGCTTTGGCGGACAAGTAGACTGGAATTCTGTTCTGTTCTGGAAGATTCTTTCTTGTGATGCTTGAGATTGAACCCAGGGCCTTGAGCATGTTTATCAAGTGCTAAGCACAGAGTTAGATCCCAGGCTGCCCTAGAAGCCGCCGCCTCCCCCTCCTCCTTCCCTTCTCCTGTCTTCCTACTCCGTACTGGGGATCAACCCCAGACCTGTGAGAGTCCTAGGAAAGCATGCTACCGCCAAATTACACTTCCATCCCTAGAAGGCTCCTAACATGATGTTTCTTTTTTTAAGATTCTTTTTTTTTTTATCATGTTTGATTATGTACTCGTAAGTGCAGGTGCCTGTGGAGGCTAAGGCGTTAGAACTCCTCAGAGCTAGAGTTACAGGAGGGTGTGAGTGGCCCACCATGGGCGTTAAGAACCAAATTGGGGTCCTCTAGAAGAGCACTACACACTGTCAACCAAATCTCTCCTGCCCAACACGAGCTTTCGTATAGTAAAATTCAATCTGTTCATGGAGTATGCTGGGAAGATTTCATTAGAACTCGGCCTGCGTGTGACACTATTGAGACTGGACTCGGGGAAATGGGGGACTGCTCCCTCCAAGAAGGCATGAGCTCGGTGTGTAGTCACTGCCCAGTAGGGTGGTCAGGGATGTCGGGTTTAAGGTGCTTTTTATTGACATCAAACCCAAACAGGTGGACGGGCAACAGGGGGCCTTCTGGGAGCTCTATACCTCTGGTCCTTGGAATCCCAATACTGACTGTCCTTCTAGACGTGGGCTTCAGGGTGACCTTCAAGATCAATCCTTCCAAAGAGCACCCCAATCGGGTGTAGTGGCATCTGCCTGTAACTCAGAACTCAGGAGACTGACGTAGGAGGATCACAAATTCTAGGCTCACACAGCAAAACAACATGCTTGATGCTGAAGTCAGCTACCACCATTCAATGTTCCTCTCAACTTACAGAGTCTTGATTTATTTGTTTGTTTGTTTGTTTGTTTTTATGTAGCCTCAGCTGTCCTGGAACTCACTCTGTAGACCAAGCCAGCCTCAAGCTCAGATCCACCTGCCTCTACCTCCTGAGTGCTGGGGTGTGTCACCGTCACCACGGCCAGCTGAGCCTTGAATTTTTTAATTAGCTCATTTTCACTAAAAGTCAATAATTGAACACTGTAACAAATTAAGGATTCTTTATGAAAAGGAGGCCTCCTCTCTACAGCAGACCCCTGATCTATGATCCGGAGGGAAACACGGCTGACAACTTTTATAAATCCTTTCAGAAACTGCGCGTGCTCATAGAACCTCTTGTCTGTATTATGTATATATGTGTGTATGTATATATAGTGTGTGTGTGTGTGCACACGCGCGAGCGCGCATGCGCGTGCGTGTGAGCGTGTGTGTATATGTGCATGTGCGTGTGTGAAGGTCAAAAGACAACTTACGGGAGTTGGTTCTCTTCCATACTGTGGAGGGAAATCTCTAGGATGGAACTCGGGTCCCCAGGCTGGGCGGCAGGTGCCTTTTCCCACTGAACTACCTCACCAGCCACACTGTATGTATTTCTTGAAAACAAAGAAGAGCCAGGAATGGTGGCTCACATCTATGATTCCAGCACTTGGGAGGCTGAGGCAGGAGGAGCATGGGTTCAAGGCCAGCCTGGGCTACATCCTGAGTTCCAGTCTAACCTGGGTTGTAGAGTGGGATCCTGACTCAAAACACCAACCAACTAAACAAGCAAACAGAAACAAAACAAACAAAAACAGCAGCTCATTAAACCCACTCTTCTGCCCTTTTAGTTTCCTTTTTGCTTAATAATATCTTGGGGATTATTTCATGTACTAATTTATTTTTAATTTAAAAACCACACAGATAAATAAATGGCGCTGTGATAATTAACTGTTTATGAAAAAACATTAAAAAGGTTTTCTCCCTTATATCATGTACCAAAATGAATTTCAAGCAGTGGATTAAAGATCTCATGGTGACAAATGGAGATCTCGGAAAAAACGTGGGAACCTGTGTGTGCATACTCCTCCTGCTGCAGAACCTTGGTTGGGAGAAATGTCTTCCAGGCTGACAAATTAAAAGCTCCCCAAACCCAGAGGTGTGAGCGTGCGTGTCTCAGGGCTCTCTGTACTCTTGTTTTTTTCTCCCCTTAAAAAAAGGGTCTTAGGTATGGCAGAACCTCAGACAGAGCATCCACAGACAGGTGAA